CTACTCCTTCAGAAAGATCTTGAGTAGTTCCGATATACCAGTAAACTTCCCAAGAAGTTTATTGTTATAACAATAACATAACAATATAACATAAATAACATAATACAACAAATAACATTTTCTAGAATCAAAAGTTAGCCATGTAATTTAAATAAGATACATTGTGACAGGCTGCTTAGTATTTAGTCAGTAGGAATGTAGGATGTTCAAGATATACAAAATATGTTAAAAATAAATTTCTTCATTTTGGAACTAAAAATGTAACACACTGAAGGGTTAAAGGAAGCATATTTGTAATAGACCTCTCTGTAAATATTTACAATGTCGTTCATTACCATGGAAAGTTTTTAATGTTATTAATCTGAGTCTAATTTAATACTGAGTAGATCTGATCAGTCTTTTAGCATTTTTGTGTTCAAAAGAGATCTGAGAAGATAAGCCCAGAAATACTTCAGTAATTACTGGGATTCAGGAAACCCTACACAGTGCAAGCATTAGTTGTGATATTCCATTCTGGTTTTTTAGAACTTCTGAAGTATACAAAAAAAATAACATTAGCTCCCTAGATGATGAACATCATAAGTTGGCTCAGAAGTCTGTGTAAAAGGAAAAAAATTCCTTTTTCCTTTTCTTCTACTGCCTACTGTTAAAGAAAAATTCAGTGCAAAATAGTTTAATTGTCAATTAGTACAAGCAGCAGTAGTGGGACTGTGTCATGTTAATATTAAACTGGCTGGCTTATTTTATAGGGTTGTGGGTTTTGTTTTGGGTTTTGTTTTTTGTTTTTTTTTTTTTTCTTTTTTAAGAACAGTAACTTTCTATATTGTGAATAAAGCCAATATGATTCAGATGGTTTATGAAGTCAGACAGTTGGGATTCCAAAATTGGAGGCTCCAGGAAGAACACCAGACCTATAGGGGTCATAGTTGCACAGTGTTTATGACTTGAGTGATTTTACTACGCCATGAAAAAATACTTTCTTTAAATTTAATTTCTTTAAAATTTCTTTCAAATACAGTTCCAGTATACAGTTTATATTTTAGACACAAACGTAATTACATAAATTAAAATGCAAACAGGGATATCAGTCTTGTAATTCCTAAAATCACCATCCAGGGTTATGCAGATATATAAAACTGTAATTGCTGTTGTGGTGTATGAATTATAGATGTGAAAATAAATCATTAGCCTTTTTTTCCCGTGGTTTGAAATGAAGTGTGATTTGTATTGCAGCTTCGACAACTGTCACGAGTAAACCATCCCAATATTGTGAAGTTATATGGAGCCTGTCTAAACCCAGTAAGTTATAGCTTTATCAGTATGACAAAAGGTGACTAGCTTAACATACACAAGCGTGGATGCACAAAATGTGTACTTTATATACAAAAATGTATGTTTTTTATATATTTTGTATGTTTTAGCCATAAAAGGAAATATACAGATATGTAGGTTAGTTGATATTTTCAGGTTTTTGGTTTTTCTTTCCCCTTCTGTGAGAAAGAAATTATTTCAAGAAAACCCCCAATGCTGTTTCTAAACACCGATTATACTTCAGTTTGTCAGAACAACATCTGGTGTATTACATGTGTAGTATCATTCATATCTACAGTCCTATTAATTGCAAGTCAGCAATACGAAAAGAGAATACGTTAGCAACACATGACTCATAGCTTGTAAATCAGTTCCTATTCTCATATATGCCATTTCCAGGATTTGCTTTCTTTCTGCCACAGCTGCAAACAGTCCCACAAATTCTTAAAGCAGAAAAGCAAGTACTGTGACAGGGCAGATGTATCCTTAGCTAATTCTAGTATGGGCTATTTGATTGGGTAAAATAATGCTGCATCCCTTTTTCCTTAGTACTAGTGAAATTCTTTTGACGTGGTATTTAAAATTTTTTGTAAGCCACTAAAAAAAAAAAGTAAAGGCAAATGACTTACAGTTTGAAGACAGCATTTGCTTTTCAGGATGGGGGGGAGGTCATTCTCTTCTTTCCTAACTTTCAGTGGGAACTAAGTATAAAACTGATTTCTGTTTCTTATACAGAAATATGTACCATTCAAACTGACTCTTTACCTCATAGATAAATTTTCCATTAGCTGAGGTATGGAGACTTTGCAGTTCCTATCAAAGAACCTTTCTTTCAGTTTATAAAAGCTATTTTCTGCCCCGACGTTTAAAACATCCTTATTTTTTTGTCCCCTCCTCCCTCAAAGGTGTGTCTTGTTATGGAGTATGCTGAAGGAGGTTCTCTGTACAATGGTGAGTATCATTTCAATATAGTGTCTTCCTGGAGCTGAAGTGCTAGTGTTAGGACAAACATGATCTAAAATATAAAGTTGTTTCATACATATGTCTCCATCCTTGGAGATACTTAGAAGCCACCTGGATGCAGTCCTGGGCAACTGGCTCTAGGTGGCCTGCTTGACCCTGCTTGCTGGACCTCCAGAAGTCCCTTCCAACCCCAACCATTCTGTAGTTCTTTGAAATTCTTAAAATAATTTTAAGGAGAAAGGAGTGTGCTTTTAAAGAACGCTTTTAAAAAACAGTCCACTGGTTTGTTTCTTGATACCAGTTTTTTCTATTTTACACAAGTCATTTCGGGTTTTCCAGTGGAACATCTGAAAAGATTCTTCCTTAACTTGTAAATCCCTCAGCATTTGTTTAACACAGACTTTACCAGGGATAGCTGAGAACAAGCAACACCTTTCATATTGATTTTTAACATCAAAAATTATGAAAAACTTACTAAAAATTTGAAAATATTTTGACGTTTCCATTATTTTAACAGTTTGCAGAAGGATATTTTCAGTTGCAGTGATGAGGCATTGATAATTACTTAGATTCCATAGAGCTTTCTGACTGGTATGTTGTTAACTCCGTTGTATCTGTTGTAATATGCAATAAAGTTCTTTTTAGTTTGTGCCTTTGTTTTGCAGTGCTGCATGGTGCTGAACCTCTGCCTCATTATACTGCTGCACATGCCATGAGTTGGTGTTTACAGTGTTCCCAAGGAGTGGCGTATCTCCACAGTATGAAACCAAAGGCTCTAATCCACAGAGATCTGAAACCACCAAAGTAGGTTTATGGTTCATATTTCGTATTTTCTTACAATTGGAATTTAAGATATTTTATAATAATTTCATTGCATTTGAAAGAAACACCTTTAATTGATAATAACGTTATTGGATGTACTATATTCTAAATGAAAGCTGTGCATTTGAAACTTTAGTAGCAGAATGATGGTGCATGGTACAGGAAATGAACTGCACTCAGTTACTTTCTGTTAAACGGGAAAAAAAATACCCTGCTCCTGTCCTGCATCGTGGAAGAGGATTTTAATAGGGATAGGGCTTCTAATCAGAGGCATTAAAAATGGCCCAGCTTTACAATGGGTTGTGGTGTTCAGTAAGAGAACGTTAGGTGGGGGATTGTTTGGTTGCTTGGTTTTAGCATCTTATTTAATCTGGTATATTAGAGCTCTTTCCCCACATGGCCATCCTCCTCTGCCCCCTCCTTCTGCCTGTTCCACTACCCCTGCCAGAATCTCCCATCACTTTCCAACTGAAACAAAAATGAATGGTTTTCTGCTCAGTCAGTTTGTTGATCTGACTCATTTTACAGCTTCAGATCTGGCTCCACAGATTAGGTGGAAACAGAGATTTGGGGATCAGCAGGATCACCCTCTTTTCGTGCTAGCCTGCAGTTATTGCCAGAAAAATCATAACATGAAGCCACACTTTAAATCTTGAACTCTTTCTTGTATCCCCAGTTTTGATTTAGAGAGCTGTTGAACACGTAACTTTGAGTGCTTTCATTTAAATAAATAGCTACGTTGGCTGACATTAATGGGAGTCTTGATTGTTCTTTTGGTAAAATTGTTACAGCACTTGTTTTTCAGCCTCTGGCATGTGAAAGACTAATTTTGTCAATATGTGCTTCATGGTTTACTATGGCTAAATATATTTATTTAAAATCTAGCACGTAGAAATATTAATAAATTACAATATATATTTGATTATTTGAAAATATTTCATATGTTCAGATTAGACACAAGTGACCTTACTTATTTCTCAAATTACAAAACTAAAGCACTGAGAAGCAAAGCTTTAGATATTCAACTGTATTAGAATGATAGTTGTTGGGATAAAAAAAATCAGTGGTTTGTTACCAGACTATTTCATCCTACAATTTTAATTTTTTGTTGTTGTTGTTCTTTGACAGTTTGCTCTTGGTAGCTGGGGGGACAGTTCTAAAAATCTGTGATTTTGGTACAGCCTGTGATATTCAAACACATATGACCAACAATAAGGGAAGTGCTGCTTGGATGGCACCTGAAGTTTTTGAAGGTAACAATAATTTACAGTGTCAATATTATGTGTTCTTTCTAAGAATGCAACTGTGAATGAATTTGGTATAGGAAAAAGAGCATCATGTAATCTTACTTTATTTCAATCAGTGTACTAAAGTTTGAGGTAACAGCTGAAAGAGTCTTGGCAGAAGTCTAACATCTATTTAAAAATCTGTATGATTGTATATTGCCAAATAATTATGCAGAGTATCGAAGAGCAGCACTGAAATGACTCTTATCATGTTAGTATTAGTTAATTACACAAAGATGTGGAACCTTTATTTGTGTCATTGCTGAGATTTACATAAGAATTACCTTTAGACAGCTGCTCTTTCTTATTTTATAAGCAAGTAAAACACAGCCAGAGGGATATTTCCCCAGGATTGTGCTGTTTCCGAGATTCTTAAGTAATTTCAAACTCTTCTGACATTTAAATACACTGTCATTACTTTCACTCCCTATTCTGATCAGCTTTTATCTTTAGAATTTCCCTGTTAGTGTCTCTAAATTGAACATAATTGCCTTCATTTTCAATCCCCCACTTTCTTGTAACTCCATCTGTATCTGCTTTTTATGTAATCTAGAGATTTGATGTGCTTCCTCTTTCCTACATACTGAGAAACTTGTTATTAAGAGTTGATTTAGTTAAGTGGGAAAACAAGCTGTTTCTTGGAGTGTAGCGGGGAAGACTGATGACACTTGATAATTAGATAGGTATAATTGCTGCAGGATTATCAGAGAAATAATCCAGTCAATATTAGATTGAAAATTAAACACCTTTTAGCCAGTCAGTACCTTAAATTATCATTGCAATTAGCAGAATGGTCTGGAGAAGTCATCTTCCTGCTTTAGGAAGCAAGTGTCCTGGTTTTGATATATTTGGCAAGCGCCTATGTGCAGCAGTGGTTTCCCAGATTCTGGATCCAAGTGGCCTCTTTTACTGTCCTTATTCCAGAGAGAAGCAGCAAATTATATATGTCCATGTACGCTTCTAGGAGGTGTTTCCTCCCAAACATCACCTTTGGAGCTTTTGTTTTGAAGGTACCTTTTTCTCCCACATATTGCTTAGAGGACCCACCCAAGGGTGATCTGTTTCATTCTGCTGCCTAAACATTTTCCATTATGTCACCTTATACTGAGGCACCTACTCTGTTTCTTTAACTCTAGCTAGGAATGCTTCTTTTCTTAACGTTTGTTTACTATTAAATGAAATTGTATAAATAAGAGATCATTTTTTCTTTTTGAAATAACCAATTGGATGATCTGTGTTAAAGCTAGATTTTTTTGAGTGAAAAATCTTAATCTAAACCAGATTTTGAGTTAAGTATATTGTAGGGATTTACAGTGCATATCCTAATTCCTCTGGTGTATGAATTCCGCAAGGCAGAACAAAGAAATCTTGTATTGCAAATTTATTGTTGGACAGCAGCAAAAGCCTTCCGTTTACAGCTGGTTTTATGTACTTTTATCCGAAAGCATTTACTGATAATGACAAATCTTTATACAAGTATCAAGGAAAGAAAGGAATCTAATAGCTTCCATGATGCACCATATCAAGTTACTCTTGAAACAGTCATTAAACTGCTAAAATTATCATATCAAATGTCAAAATTGTTAGAAGTTTGTTTGCTTATGCTACTGCATCAGAATTCAACAATGGAATAAATGCTAATATTATTTTAGTACTGTTCTAGTACTAACATTTTTAGATGAGAACAATAAAGGCACAAGAACTATCTGTTGTAGATGGCAGAGTGCTCATTGAAGTAATTGCCCTAATATTAAAATTTTCCCCCCATTTTAAATATTAGGGCACCTAAAGCCTTGTACAGATCAAACAATCTAAATGAAAACAATATCATTTAGCTGAGGATAAAGTGAAAGAGAACAAGTGTTCTAATTTCAGAACTCCCTTTAGAAGAAACTTTTTTTTAATTGCTTTGGGATAATTGGATAAATCAAGGAATGATTGTGTGTAGCTGTTATCCTGCCTTGGTCTGTTACATAATGAAACAATACAGAATACTCTCTCGCTTCTTTTGGACTCTCCGTTCTCAGTATTAGTCCAAGACTTCTCAGTCACAAAATAGGGTTTCCTTGCTCAAACAGGAGAATAACACCACTTCCCTGTCATAGGCTGTGTTTTGCAGAAGTGCTGTGGCTGCATAGCGAAGAGGGACTGTTTTGCTTCCCTTAGCAGTCTGCCGTTGTTAACAGATACCTTTTTTCCCAGCGCCTTTGAGAAAAAGCTGACTGATAAAGCTGACTTTGCTATTCCCCTTCAGTAACTTTGGAACTTGTTAGCCACATTCAGCTACTTTGATACAGGTGTAAAGAGTTTTGGAGATGCCAGGTTCTTAAAGAGTTTTGTAAAATCAGTAGCTGGGAGAAGTCCAAATTAGTGCCTTCACTTAGAGAGGACTTGTGGTTCATGCTGCAGCCTCTCTCCTGTCTGCCTCACAAACTTGCTGGTCTGCAAGAACTGGCCTGAGAACATGCTGCTTTCCTTGCACGGTTTGTCAGAGGTATGGGCGCAGAGGAAGATGGCTCATAGGTAGAGTGGAGCCTATTGCAATTGCATGCTATATGATGGGTATCCATATGAAACTAGGCTTCTTTAATTCCACTGTTTAGGAGATGATTTGTCTCGATGCTTTCTGATTACGTATTAAAAAAAAACAAACAAACCTACCTCTTGGCCACTCGATGCCAAGTTTGATCCTTGTTTGATGACATATGAACAAATCTCTATCATTTATATTCACACATTTATTATGTCATTAGCCATTCACATTTCTTTTTATTATTTGCATGAGTTACGGTTACAGAGCATACATTCTTTCTTTGCAGTCTCCCAACATTTTTGTTCATTATTCTATATCCACTACATGTCTTCTGCACCTTTAACAGGAGTCTTAAAATATTGAACTTATGGTCAAAGAACTTTAAGTAATGACATGACAAAAGGAGTAAGAATAATAAACAGGGAGGAAATAAGATGGTGAGGAATTGAGGAATCTGCTGATTTGTTCATATGCTAACTTCCTAGTTCTGCTAAAGACCTGTAATTAGTAAAGAGCAATGGATATGACGGGTATGTTATTGACTGGCATATTGTGCCTAACATGGAAGAAGTGAATTGAAGAAGAATATTTAGAGTAAGCAAGCATAGTCAGTTAAATCCTGAATGCAAGAGATCTTTGAAACTTAATAAATTGCATCTTATATTATATAAGAAAACTGACGCATTTTATCATTTCAGGATGATTCCAAGTGAAAAGGATTGATTTCCAGAGAGGCATTCTTAACGATCCTACTGTCAAATGATTTCAGACTTAGGTTAGCGTGAATCAGCCAGCTTTAGAAAACTGTTTTTTTTCTTAGCAAAACAAATGTGAAGTGAAAGGAAGCATATAGAGCTATTTATCAGCTCAAACTGTACTTCTTTTTAATGTGTCATATAGAAAAGAGACAAATTATATTGATGGCTTTCTTCCAGGTAGCAATTACAGTGAAAAATGTGATGTTTTCAGTTGGGGTATTATTCTCTGGGAGGTAATCACCCGTAGGAAACCTTTTGATGAGATTGGTGGTCCAGCTTTCCGCATAATGTGGGCAGTTCACAATGGTGAGTTGAAAATACTTTATTGCATTTGAAGTTGTGTATTTGACCTGTAAATTTGCTAAACACTCTTAACTGTGAAGCTTTAAATTACTAGGTTTACCATTTTATGCTTCATTAAATATGCATTTTTGTCATAAAGACTTAATAGTTAGCCACTGCCACTTTTGCGTCAGTGTGGGTTGTGTGTTATTTGACTGCTACAGTGCTTGCATTTCCTGCTACATGTAAGTAGTGTATGAACAAACAGGGGAAAACAGCCACGTTCTTTTTGTTATGACACTCCATTTTAAAAGTGATCTGAATCATGTGCTACAAAAAACCCCACAACCCCTCTGTCTGGATGAATGACAATTTTACTAGCCAAGTTGTGTGTCTCTCTCTCTTTTTTTTTTTTTTTTTTAATTGGGTGTCTACAGTACATGTGTGAGTTTAAGTAACTTGACCTGTCTTCAGAAATGCTAGAAAATGTCAAACTTCTGCAGGACCATTAGGCATTAAAAATATTACTTTGTTTTTCATCTTGTTTGGTTTGGTTTGGTTTTGTTCTGCTTTTTGAATTATTTTACCTTTATGTCTAGGTACCTGCAGTCATGGAGCAGGACTCTACTGTGCTAGGTACTATACAGAACAGATTCTCAGGAGCTTAGAATATAAACAGGAGACAATGGTTGGATTCAAATGGACAAAAGAAAGCAGTGGTACAACATTGGTCAGAATAATAGACTGTAGTATCGTCATGCTAGTGGTGTAACTTTTTTAACAGTGTGTTTTTAGATACCATGGCAAAGCAGAGTATTAAGAAGAATAAAGTAATAATAGTGAAGTAGTTCAGTGAATGTCTGCAAAGAGTTTCTGCCATTTGTGAAAGACAACATCAAAGAAAGCACAAACTTGTTTGGAAGATGTAATTGACAAACAAGCAAGGAAGGCCGGTACTCTGCCTGACTGTCATTGCTTCAGTACTAAATGATAGAAGCTTAAGGTGAGCACAGGCATCCTATTCGATGAAGAAGAGAAAGGGGCAGACAGCGATAGGATGGATGAGCATTGTAGTCATCATAATGCACAAAGATAGATGTTTGCAAATGGCATTTTTGAATGAAGAAAGAGATTCTCCATTTCACTTTTTCAAGGACAGGAGTCATTGAGATTAGGAGTGATGAGTGCCTTGCATAAATGTAGTAGTCATAAATCAGAAAGCCTTGGTAAGGTGCAGGAGTATCCTTTAAGGGGAAGACAAATTCCCTATCTGTCCCTACTTTTGCTTTAAAAACTTCTCTCTCTTTTTTTCTTTTTCTCTCCCCCCCCCCCCTTTCCTTCTTTTCCTTCTTAGGAAGGAAGTGTTCATGTGCTTCATCTCACTTGAAACCATTGTGGCACTCTTGAGTCGTGTATTACTTGTTATGGTTAATACGTTTTTAAATACTTGCTGCTTTCTATGCAAAGTCACTACATCTCATGTATTAAACACAACTGGATGTCCATTAATTGTACTTATTGTTGAAGCAGTAAAAAGAGTAGAAACTTGAACCAAAAAACATCTGAATAGTTATACAACAGCTGAAGTAAAATATGTAATTAAAAATGTGTATAGGCCATGAAAAAGTCACCTGAAATTGGTACTTCCAGTGCTTAATAATTTTTCAGGAAGTTCTTAAGAGCAAAATCAGCCCTCAAAAATACTGTGTGTCCCCCCCCCCAACCATAAGTACAACATTAGGAACTGTTACTACTTGCTTCCTAGTTTGGCCTAGAGCTTTATTCTTCAGAAAGTGGTAACATATTCATTAGCCATTGTAATACGTTCTATTTGGTCAGTCAGTGAATTTATTCAAATCACTACTGAAGGAAAAGTTTAATTTTCTTTCTGCTTGTTTGTATGTAATTGTAACTTGTATTTAGTGCAAAAGAACTTTTTTTTTTTGTCAGTTTTTTGTTTCTAAGAGAGAAAATTAAGTACAGGTCAGTTCTGTCAGACTACAATTAACTATACATTTTCATGTATTTATTGAGCAAAATACCGGAGAGAGATCAGTCACTGTCAGTCATCTTACAGTCTATTTAACAAATTAAGGGTTTTTTCTAATTTCAATTATAGGTACTCGGCCACCACTGATCAAAAACTTACCTAAACCAATTGAGAGTTTAATGACCCGTTGTTGGTCCAAGGATCCCTCACAACGACCATCCATGGAGGAAATTGTTAAAATAATGACACACTTGATGCGGGTATAAAGATTTATTTTAATATCTTAATCATTTTTTAACCTATGAAGTTGGGAAATTGAATTATAAAAGATATACCTTTTATCACACTTGAAAGGTGGGCTTGCATGTTTTCTCTCTCCTTCTCTCTCTTTTTGATAAAACTTATCAAATTATTACAGTAGAGAAGGGAAATCGTTCCTCTCCTTATGAGAGAGGTATACTAATTCATAACAGATTTGGGGAAATTAATAAAAATAGTCATAGATTTATTTTAATGTAGTACTAAAAATAATTGCATTTATTTCTCCTCTAAATAAATTATTATAAGCATAATATATAGTTTATATTTAGAAATTAGTTTATGAGGTACTATTTAAATAATTTCAGAACAATTGTTAATTACTTTTTTATCAAATCATTGCTGTTTTTTCCCAGTACTTTCCAGGAGCTGATGAACCTCTGCAGTATCCTTGCCAGTATTCAGATGAAGGCCAAAGCAACTCTGCCACTAGTACAGGTACACTTGTATAAATAAGAGACAAGAACAGCAACATGAAATGATGCAGATGGATTATAAAGCACATTCTTATATTGATTTTGAACTCAAATTGGGAAAGGTAACCTTTCCAAAATCTTAAGCATTGGCAGGAATCTGGTTTTTTGTTAAGACCTCATAATATTTAGTGTTCTCAGCCAAATGTTTTTACTGAAGAGTACCTTTAATGGAGAACAAGCTTATAGTAAAAGCTGTCTCTGAATGTGTGGGTTTAAGGTCTCCTCCTTTTTTCCCATGAAAGTTGCTAGCAATTGACACACTTTCACTCATATGTAGTGTTTAGGAGTTGGCATTTTTAAATTTTTGATTATTCTTGAAAGCTGCACCTGCTTTCAGTTATGATCTCCACAATTCAAACTTGCAGTTGTTTTATATTAAGATGCAATATATAGTAATTTAAATTAAGGGCAAGGAAATCACTGGAAAGGTGAATGGAACAAAATGTGAGCTATGCTTTCAGGTCGTCTTGACCTCAGAGAAATCCTTTTAATAATATAAAATAAAGGTCATTCAGTCTTCTCATTTTTTAGAGTACAGTTTTCCCACTTCAGTTGTTTTTAATCTTAGCTATCTTCACCTTCCACTGCTTGGTTGGTTTGTTTTCTATTTCCAAACAAATTGCTGTTATTTTGGATAAAGTTTCCTTGGCTACTTTGCAACTTAGTGACCTATATATTACCAAATATTTTCAGCTATATCATTGTACCGACTTTACTAGCTGTTCTCGACCCCTCAGCACGTGATTTTAAGATATGATTTATCACTTTAAACTGTGAATATATATTGTCTGTTGTTTTTCAGTTATTTGTGCTCCTCTATGGTTAATGATGGACTTTGTCATTAATTGTGAATGAGGTTGCTGGTTGTGTTGTTAACATAACACCTACCTCAACAATTTCAGAGCAAGCTAAAGATTGACTTCAGAATGTCATCAGAGTACTTAGTCATGTATTCTGTCTTTTTCACTCCTTTTACTTTTTATGTAAAGGTCTTGCAGCTTGCCTTTCATTAAAAGTTTTCAAAAGTGTTGCTTTAAAGCAAAGTTAGGCTTCTGAGAATGCTCAAGTGAAGAGATGCACTTTAGCATTTTTAATGGAGATTGTCAAATGGTTTCCCTTGTTATTGATTTCTAGGTTCATTCATGGACATCACTTCGACAAATACAAGTAACAAGAGTGATGCTAACATGGAACCAAGCGACTTCCAAGGAGCTTCTACCAATGACACTATTAAACGTTTAGAGTCAAAATTGGCGCAACAAATGAAAAATACAGCCAAACAGCCGGTAAGCCAACACGTGCAATTTTGAACCATAATAATGAAATGGACAAAGATTGACAGAAGTGTTGTAACTGCTATGAAACATTAATGTCTTCTTCCAAAAATAGTACAAAATTGGAGCCAGTTAGTTATAGGAAAAGAACATGAAAGGGGATGGGAAAATATTGAATGATTCCAAAAAGGTAAACTGGAAGATCTCCAACGAAATAAAAAAATAGTTCATTTTATTTAAAGGGATTCATTAGGTTAAAAAAAAAATATATTTGAAAATCGCTGCCTTAATTTAAAATGAAAATATTAGTATGACATGAAAGGATTAAATATTTATATGAATTTTGAAAATACTATGTTTTATTTCAAGTAGGATGAAAAAATACAAAGCCTCTCTTGTGACAGTATTGGCCTAATTCTACACAATTTTTATCTGCATAAAGTTAGATTCTTTTGAAAGTTGCAGGTAATTTGTTCTTGTATACCAATAATAGCTAATTTATCACCATTTATTGAATTACAAATTTTAAATCTTTAATATGCACATTATAGAAATATATTTTAACCTACATACTATGAATATCATGGAGGGCCTTCTGCAGAATGGTTTTTCTTTTTAAAAATGTGACTGTTGAAACAGGGTGATCCTGGCCGTTTGAGTTTACCCCCATCTCGTGGAAGCAGTGTGGAGAGCTTGTCAGATGTTCGCGCACGACCACAGTCAGCCCTTGTTTCAGGAGAAGCCAAAAGGATGAGTGCTGACATGTCTGAAATAGAAGCAAGAATAGCTTCCATTACAGGTAAAATTAAAGGATGTTTGGGGGATAGACTAAGGAATTGGAAGGAAGAAAAGGAGGAAATAAGATGTAAAACATGCATAGTCTTTCAGAAAGTTAATACCATTAGCCATGTGAAAATGCTTTAACTTTTCAAGTAGTCTTTATTGTCCTTGATTAATGTGGGGGAAAATGGCTTCGTTCACAGCTGTGCACTCAACAAGGTTGAGTATTTTAATTGGGTACTTTTAAAGTTGCGGAAGAGGTTACTTTTGTTGAATTGGACTTTGACCTTTTTAAAAAAAAATCATTATGAGATTTCTAAATATCAGTCCTATTCCAAATGCATCTGAAATAATGTTATTTCATCTCTGGTAGCATAATTATTTTTAAAATAACATTTCCTTCAAGGTTATCCCTATAATATTTTTAAATTAAGAGGTGGGTTTAAAGTTCAGCATGTTCCCAAATAAGTTTTAAAATCCACTTTGACATATTTCAGAAAGAGAAACGTAGTTAGATTTTATTCAGCAGATAAACAAAGCATTGGTATCTTTTGTTTGTTTTTTTTTAAAAAAAAAAGCTACAGGTGTTTTGCCAGGTTTGCTTCAGGTAGCTATAAACTGTTGTGTCTAAACATTGAATCCTTGAGTGAATTGGAATTTATGTGTAAGTATAAATATATAATTTTATGGTGAAAGCAATCTTTATTCTTCCCAGAAAAGTGAATTAATAAAAATGTGTATACTTGGCAAACACTTTCTTGTCTCTTTTCTTCATCAAAGATATTGTTTGTTAATCTATGCAAACTTCAGGTTTTAAGTTTCATGTGTGAAACTTTTTTTTGTTATGCTATATAACAGATTTAAATAATCAGACAAAATTACTTTGCTTAGTCCAGGGTTATTTAGCTGTTCTAGTATTTTTCTACCAATCTGAAAATTAGGGTAATCAGGTAGCTGTAATTAATAAGGAAATATGCGTCATATTCTGGCTTTCTTGTGCACCATGAGTATTTCATTTTTGTTCTTCATTGTATTATGATTACTCCAGGATCATGTTTTACTAAATACTGAAGTTACTTATGAAATAATTTTATCTTGCCCTAAACACTTTTTACTTTTATGTTCTTATTTTAAAGCCTTATTCCAAGATTTGTCTTTTGTATTGTCAGTCTTTGACTGGATGATTGTGTAGCGCATCTCACCCTGAATATCTCTAAAGGTTTCCTAACACAGAAGGCAGCTGTGTACTTACCTGATAATAACAACATACTGGTTTTATTTTAAGATGTGTCAGGACTCACTTTGGTCACTGGCACTCTAAAGTCAATGTCAGTTTTTGACATTAGTGGAGATAACTTGGCCCTCCTTTGTGTGAGTTTTTAGTTTTCCTGGTTTGTCTTCCTTAAGTACATTGCTCTGAATAGTAACTTATTTCAAAATATTCCAAGATTTTTTTGTTGTTATGACTGTAGGGTTTCTTTTTCTTGAAACAAAAGTATATATTGAAAACACTAGTTAGTTTTTTTAAGAAACCACTTCAGGTGGCAGTGGACTACGAGAAATTAAGTCAAACCCATCTGACCATAACTTTTTCAAAAAGAGTTGAAACAGCACTGTACTGGTTTTGCTTTGATTTTTAATCTTGTTAACTGTGTGACAGAAATAATATGCTGTGAGCCTGAAAAAAACTGTATGGCTGGGTGAGAATTGGGCTGTTGTTAAGAGTAAATCAGGTCAAGAATTATTTAATCTTCTTGTTCCATCTATCGCTAGATTAAGTGTAAGAGTAACTCACATAATGCACATCACCATTACTTATTAAGTTTGAGATGGATATGCTGCAACGTTCTGCCTTTGGGAGGTGTATTCAGACTTTTCTTTAAATGGGAACTATTTATCTTAAACTACACAAGTAGTAAAATAAAAATAAAAAAATGTATTATTAGATTTTATTGCAAAGTATATAATGTTTCTTGAACATCATTCAAAAATGAAAAGGCTGGTAGTGATATCCAATTTGCAAAACAAAAAATCTTCACCAGGAAGGCAGGAATGATTGTCAAGTATAATAAGAGTAAGCGTTTTTTTTCAGAGACAGATGAGATTTCCTTTAAGAGGAGGTGATTTAAAGAAACAGAAGTGCCCAACTATTACTCTTGTTTATAAAAATAGTTTGTACCCAACACTAAAGAGAAAATGTTATGTAAGTTCAGGCAATCAAGAATGTATTCTGAGTATACAGGTGACCTGAAATAATTTAATTTGTTCTCTGTTTGGATAATTACATTTGGTTTTCCCTTCCTTGTTGCCATGCTGCTTTCTGTGTTTGACTTTTGTGTTGCTAACTATAACTAATTACACGGTGTTGTAATGATGGCTAGTTCTGCATTTTTTGCTTTTTAACAGTTGCTTTACTATGTGTAAGCATGAGTGGAAGGCAATGCAGTTTATTCTGCATGACACATTTTTGCATGAACTATAGTTTAACCAAGTTTATGAAAAATGCAGTATTAGGAATTTAATAATTTTGCTATTGCCATTTTAGTGTTTTGCATGTGTATTGTATATGTGTATTTTTTCAGCCTATTCCAAGCCTAAACGAGGCCATCGTAAAACTGCTTCATTTGGCAACATTCTGGATGTCCCTGAGATCATCATACCAGGTATCGCAGACCAGGTGAACGGGTCAATTGGTTAAGATGCCGGAATAATGATCAGACTGCTAAAAATACTTCTTGCTCCAGTTGCTGTAGGACAGAACTAGAAGTTATCCCAATAATTTTTTCATAATGTCTCTGTAAAGAGGAGCATGACATTTTAGTACAAACTTACTTTTATCAGTAAAGGAGTCGATCCTTGAGTTTGAATTTACTTTTATTGATGAAGGATTTTTTCCTTTTATGATCTTGATGTTAGGAGTCTTCTTATAGAGCAGAACTACATGTACAGTCTTTTGTTATAATACCTCACTTCGTGAAAATGGATTTAAGTTGAAAAATTCCTGTCTAGGTAATTATCTTGCCCTGATCTTTGTTGTGTTTGAGCACCCATTGGTAGAACATTAGTAGAACAAAAGACTTAAATACATTACATACAGAACTTGAAATCCATGTGATACTTGTGATTTAAAAAAATTAACTCTTGATCTATGTAATTCTTGTATTTGACTACACTTTTCTAGACCTAAAATGTGTCTGCATGAGGTATTTCTGTTGTGTTCACGTTAATGCAAACTAAAATTATTAGGAGAGGCTTCTGACAGGAAGAAAATCAGTATAATCAGGCACCATAACTCGTAATTTCAGTTGGGACTTTAATGAATAATTCTCATCTATGCCAGGTCTATATTTAGTTAGCAGCATATCATTTTCCTTTCCCATTCCTTTTCTTGCAATCAAAGTGGATTTCTTTCTTTCATTTCATACTTCTCAAAGCCTAAAAATAAGTATAATCAGTCCCAAACTGTGATAGGTATACCATTAGCGATATGCAAGTCGCTTCAAAATGATTTGTCAGAGGCAGGAGACCCAAGTAATAGTATCTACTGCTAATCTAGACATCCATTAAAAACTGTGGACCCCCTACTCTAAATTTGTGTCATTTGAGGAAGTTTCCTTTCAAATCTTGACATTGTTTGGTATTTAAAGTTCAATGCAAAAGATAATTTTGTACAAAAGTTTCTTTCAAATAACTTTATTGAAGTTTACATATAAAAATACAGAATGTCAAAAAATAGATTCCAAACAACAATAGCACCACCTGTGAAAAGAAAACCTGTTTGGCATTGAGGCTAACAAATCAGCAAGAAAGTTTACTAGTGTAGCTTTCCACTGTAATTTTCAAGTGGTCCTGGCCTGCCATGACATAAGTGAAATCCTGAGAGAGCAAAGAAAGAGAAAGTGAAGAGATCTGTCAAGTTTTGCAGTGTCAACATGTGAAGAGAGCCTGCTAAAGAAGCTCTGGAAGCTAACTGAGTGCCTCTTGTCTGTGCACACTGTCTGCATGACAGCACTGAGGCTTCCAAGAAACCTTGAAACTTCTAGACAAAGTCAGTGAAATAAAATGCCACCTCATTTTCACGAAGTTGACTGTACCAGTCTATTGGTTTTACTTATTTAGTCAGAGGAAGTCAATCAGATATTCTTCACCTGGACTGTTTTAATTGAACTTGACAGGATGGGAATTCCAAGGTGAATTTGGAATAGATACAAGAGAAATAGCAACCTGTAGAAATGAAAGAAGGTATAGGATTGGAGCAAGCATAGTAATGAATTTTCTCAGAACATACTCTTAAGGTATTTAAGTCTTAAATAAGCGATAATGAAATTCACTGTTAATGTTTTATCAGAAGTGACTATTCATAGAGGAGGATTAGAGTATCACATAGGGTGAATTTTGTTGTGACTGGGGAAAAAAAAATGGAAATAGGGTAAAATCCAGGGTGATGCACTGTGAGTCATACACTAGCAACAATTTCTTTTAATAAAATGACATGGAACCAGAGCAGATGCATGCAGATTAATCCCGGGTAGTATAAGCCACTAATGTAATGCAGTTGTGAAAAACTGTGAAATCTTAGGATTCATTTCCAGGAAAGATAAGGAAGCACTAACACCGTTTACAGGCCCTTGAACATACTGTTCTGGGCAGCCATATAAAAGAAACGTAACGTGTGCTCTGAAATAATAGCAAGAAGAGCTACTAGGATGGTATGGAGAGTATAAAGAAGAATCTGAAAGCATGGCTTTTTTAGCCCACAAAATGAAAGCTGAGAAATGAATACTTATTTTCTGTAGATGACTCTGCAGCTAAAGACTAGGAAGAGAGAACTACTTAAGCCAAAAGACAGTATCGGCACTACAGAAAAAAGATGTAAATTACTTGCAAATAAGTCTGGGCTGTATATTAAAAGTTTTCTGGCTGTCAGAACAGCTTTCCTGTAAGAATCCCAAGGCCAGAAGAAAAAGAGATTAATTGTTACGTGACAGGGATGTGATCATCTGCCCAGTAAACGAATTATATTTATCTGTATACCTAAAGCAGTTATTCAAAAGTACCTTGCTCAGTAATTCTTTTAAAGACAATATAATGTGGCCTATTTCTCACCTCTTTCCTTTCCTTACTGCCTGAGCACAAGGCTTGCAGTCCTGGCCTCTTAACACACTTTTCGCCTTCTAGTTATAATTCCAAGACCCCCAAACTGCCACCTCCATCTCGATCCCACCCCGTTACGTTCCTTAGCGCTTCTGCCACATACCCAGCTCCTCCGAACTTCCCTGGGCATGTCCGTCGGCGGGGCGAGCAGCCCGTCTCTCCCTGGGGCAGCGGGAGCGCTGACCCAGTCCGTGCTGCTGCCTGAAGTTCTGCTGAGCGCATGGTAAAGCAGCTGCTTCCCGGCGAGGGGAGGCCCCACGCAGGCATGTTACCATGAGTCAGCTGCTTTGGGGCAGGGCTATTTTAGAAGTATGAGTACTACATCTGCTATCATTGGGGTTTTTCGTAATGTGTTGCCTCAGCTGCTTTTCATCCATGAACTGATTATTCTACTGAGGTGGCAAAATACGAATTTTAATCAGTTGAACATAAAATGTTGGCAGAAGTGGAAGTTTTTAATATATATTTGCTCTTCTTTCTAAACAGGTGTAAATAAGGGTGAATAGAACTTTCATTTAAGATGCTCTTTTGAGTTACTAGTTTACAAAACTTAGAAACTGAAAAATGGATCAACTAATTCCTTTTTTGTGTAAGAACTTGGCAAATGTGTTTTCAGTGGTGGTATCCTGCAACCAGATAGCCAAGTGAAGTATCAATTTATTTTTTTTTTCAATTTATACTATATATAATATATAGTATAGATAATAAGCACCATGATTTTATTTATTTATATATATATATGAAAAATAAAAACCCTAGTAAGTACAAAAGGCTTAAGTAGCTATATGTTTAAAGAAACAACAAAAAAAATCTAAGTATAGTTTGTAATATGATCAAGAAGAATAATTAGAACACCTTTTTGATATAAACCAGTCAAGCAGCACCTAGTAAAAATACCTTCAAGTACAGCCTTTTCTTCACTGGCAACGTTAGACATCTCATGCGTATAGCATGCGTGCATTTGGCTTTGTAATTTTGTCATCTGAAACTGTGCCACAGCGTTAAGATTTTTATAGCATTGACACTGCATAAATGATTACGCCGGGTAGACGCATTTTGTTGAGCGTCTTAGAAAGTGGATAGGAATTATAGATGCTTTAGGTCTGTAATTTTTCTATCTACTTTTAAAAGCAATATGAGCCAGAAATCCCACCCTCATCTCCACAGATTGCTTCATTCTTCCAGAATTCAGATCAATGTTTTAACTTAAAATGTCTTCTAGCACTGTTTTATTCACTGATCATCCTGCACTGAGAGAGAGGTTTGGGTCTTGTAGGTGTGTAAGGAAGAGAGAGTACTGTGCGCAAATAAGAAAGTGTAAAAGGAGACGCAAGTATCTGCTAAAGGGCAGGGAGAACAGTTCATAGCTGGGCTCAATATGTGGCGGTGGGGGGTGATGAAAAGCATTAGTAAGTTGTAGAATTTGTTTTTGCTGGAGTACGTGGGGCAGCACATGTACTGTTCCTTTTGAATTTCATTTTAGAAAATAAACAACAGTATGTGAAATGGGTTTTTTGAGGCCAGGAAGTATGTTTGTGATGTTTGGTTTTTAAACTTAAAATCCTGTAAACCACTGAAATCCTGACATAGCGCATCAAGCTACTGTATATTAACTTCTGTGCATTTACAAATCTCTTTGTTTTTATAATGAGAAAAAATTAATTTTAAATGGAGGTAGAGCTAAGAACAAGATCAAAACGGGGAGAGGAAAGCATAAAGAAGTAGCAGTGGTCATTTCAAATACAGATTGTATGTTGTATAGTATATTTTTCAATTGAAATTTGTCTTGAATCTGGAGCAATAAGTATTTGTTGATTCGTAGTCTGTTTCTGCTTTGTCTAAGCTATTTGCCAGATGTCTGCAGTAGTTATACTAATTAAAATGGCATTGCCTAGTAGAGCTTGCTCTTCCCTCATGCTACTAACTTGGAGATATTTCATTTAAAGGTGTTCATTTATTACAACACAGTAGTTTTGGCCCCTCTTTCTCCCCCCAAAGCATTTTCTTTTCTTTTTTGCACCCCACCCTGGTTATTTTAACATTTTGGCAGCCATGTTCTAATATTTCAGCAACACATGTGCCGGGTTCTTTAAATTCACAAATGTTGCTAATCTGAAATGAGAATTTCAGATATTTTCGCAAGGCTATTTCAGCTGAGCTAATTTTATAACAGTGTTGTTGAATGAAACATGCACATAATTTTGTATCGGTCGTGGGTGGACCGCCCATATCTTGAATATTGAGATGAGCTGTGACAGCCAGATGAAGTATCCACAGCACAGAATTCTATTAAATGTATAATCTTGTTTGTTAAACTATTAGGTAGTGAAAAAGTTCACTGCAAGTGAACAAGTTCAGAAATGTTGATGTAGCTTTGTCATTCACACAATCTCTAATATCAAACTATTAAACATAATATAGCCATTGTTGCTTAGGTAAGTATATACTTTCCCTAAATTTCAGAAGGAAAAGATCAAGACCACAGAAAATTTGCAATTCAAATTCATTTGTAGTCAGAGCAAAGAATATATTCCCATTTGAGAATCCTTCTTGATTTTCTTATATGCTTGTTTCTCCTAGTACTTCCTATAAATTTTAGACTACAAAATGTCAGGACAAATTGGTAAAGTGACACTGAGATTGCTGTTTTGTGGTAATGTGTTCCTACATGTAATAGCACCTATATTTAAAAATTTAAAGTATGATACCATTAAATGTATTGATTAATATTGAATAGTCTTACATTTTTCTAGTAACGGTTGCAAATCAAAACACCTGTCAAGACAGGCTGTGGAGTCCTATGGAAATGATGCTGAATGAGAAGTATCTAAAAGGTTAAAAATGCGGTGCCCGCGACAGGGCTGTGAGGGAGCTGGGCTGGCCGTGGCGCGCAGGGTGGCGGGGCGAGGGGCTGCCCCGGCTGCAGGACGTGTTTCGGATGCTCCCCTCCAGCAGAAAAGTTACGTAATGCAGAGCGAAGAGCAAGAATTTTGAGCATTGTCAGCTGTTACTCAGGACGTTTTGGTGTTTCCTTTTGGACGGACAGCTGACCTGCTCTCAAGAGACAATATCAACAGTCACCGTAATAAAAATCAAAGTAGCCAGGGAGATTCCATTGCATAATCTCCTTTTATTTTTAAGGAGACTTTGTTTCCTGGAAATGCCTTTGATTGCGTGTCAGTGCTACAATTTAAACTGTTTTATGTAGCTGTCACTGGTGGATAATTGCTAACAGGTGGAAGGAGAAGAGGAAAAGATTACAGCATTGTGCTCAGGAGGTTGATGGTGAGATGTGATTTAGCTGAACAGTCTCCTTTTCACACTTCTCAGAGCATGAGACCAGGACATAGTTTCGTCCTTCTGAAGGAGACAAAGACCAGAAGGAAGCGCTTTCGCTTCTTAATTTTCGTGAGGGGAACGGCACGCGGGCAGAAGTCCTTGCTGTGTTCCTTGAGCACGCCAAAGAGCAACAGGTTAAAGCTGGCAGCCTGTTATCTTCGCGGTCTAGCTTTTAGAAATCCCCATAACGTAACGCACTTGAAATAGATGTCGTCATCAGCTCCTGCCCCGAGTACTAAGCCTGACCAAATACATGTGACAGAAGATGGTGGAGTAGAGTGCAGCAGCTATTCATGTGGTAGGAGCGGTTATTGTATTAGGGTATACTTTTTGTTGACAGGCCAGCATGTTCTGAGTTAAAATTCTGCAGCTGTCTCTCTCTCCCCCTCTCTCACTTTCTCTCTGTGGATTTGTACAAATTCCAAGCTCCTCTGCAACAGTCGCACCCTTCTTATTTTGTTCTGAATAGATTTCACTGGTTTGTTTTTGTTTTGTTTTTTTCCCAGCAGGAAACGGACAGCAGAGGCGCAGATCCATTCAAGACCTTAGTGTTGCTGGAACAGAGTCCAATCAGGTAACGTCTTTCTCGTCTCTTCTTTATCTTTCAGTGAAGTCAACACCGAATCTGTACAGGGAAACTGGTCTGGAAATCTTCACCTTTGATGCTTTCGTAGAAACGATGTGGAAGCTTGGCAGACTGTAGTGTCGTTTGTATTGCATTTAAATGAGATTCCATGAGGGTAATCTATGAATGAGCTCTAGATGAGAAGTGTTTTCTGTATAGCTCATGCAGCATTTATCGTTTTTATGTACACATGGTTTTTGTGTACCACTTAATTTGACTGAGGGCAGATGTTATGCAGGAAAGCCTTTTCACCTCTCTGTATGTAGGAAACAATTGTAATGGTTACTTATGATTATCTGAAGCAGTTATACGTACCTTAGACTCACTTTACGCATAAAAAGAAAAAGCATGTGCATCAGTATTATAAATGCATTTATTATCAATCTCTGAATCCTGAATAGTAACTAAGAGTAGTATTCTCTCCATTTCTTGTGAAAGGTTTACAGGAGGGTGCTGTCATAAAGTTTTGTTTAAAAAAAGACTCTCAATAAGATATTATATAATAACATAGCTTCTTATCTGGTATCGTAAGTGCCATGGTAACAGACACAGTGGTATGCTACATAAAATTGAAATTGAACTAAAACCAAATTAAACTAAGAACATGTTAAATGAGAACAGTACAGCTAATGCTTCATTCACATGTGTTTATTTTGTGTTTTTAATTGCTTCATTGTCTTTTTCAGTCATTCACAGAGGCTATTTGGTCATTAGTGTGAATTGGCAATTTTGAGATCCCTACTGTTATTTGGATGTGGGAAACTGGAGCTTAGCATATTCATCACGTTAATCAGGTTTCCATATTAAACAACCTACTGCAATAACCTAAAATAGGTGGTAGTTTTGGGGGTGTCTAGTTATCAGGAAGATGAGCATTTGATCCTTCTTTAATTCCATGGAGTGTGATAGCCACAGAAACCTCATCAATCCCCCAGGTATTGTTAGTAGAATTTACTATGTACATCTATCAGAAATTAAAAAATGAGTCTTAAATACATTTTAATATCTTCAGAGCAGACAGGTTTGTTAGAAAGAAATGAATCTGCAAAATTTAGTAAAGAAATAGATTAGCCTATTCAGTTAATTGTAGAACTAAAATTACGCAAGACTTGAGGAAAAAAAAATCATGACAGTACATCAGTTATACCAAATTGCAGTGATTGATGTATGAATATATTTAATTATAGGGTTTTTATTTAAAATTTTTCATTCTGTTCATTTTAATGAATGGTTAATATTTAAAAATATAGAATTTCAGCATTTACTTCATATCTTAATAACTATTATCATAATCTTTCTTTGAAAGCTGTTCTACTGCTTGGATGGATGTTCTAGCTAAATTGTCCTTGTGACCAGGAGGATACAGAAAAGTTGTTTTGTTTACCTCACCAATTTCCAATGAGGGTCTATAGAAGTACCAGAATCACATTTTACTTTCTTGCTTCTGATACTGTACGTATTGGAAATCTAAGTGGAAGAATTCCAATTATCTGCTTCTATCTTGCAGTTTTTGGAAACGTTACGATAAAATCTGGAAAACATCATATTTTAACAGGCGTGAAAAATGCACTTTGGAAGAAATTTTTGCACTGTCCGTATAAACGAATAATGAATTTTCATCCCCTTTTTTTGTGTGAGAAGAGATAGAATAAGTCTGCTGAAACTAATGCTAACTTTTGACATACATATGTTTGTATATTTTTTAAAAAAATAAATCAGAAAAAAATTAAGAAAGCAAGCACAATGTAATTATGGCAAAAGACCTAAGGTTACTGTTATTGGTTTCTATAGCTCTGGACCTCACTGCATTGAATTTTTATTAAAATTCTTGAACTGCTATCCATATAAGCCATCTACTAGCCAAACAGAAAAAACATCTGTGACTAGTGTAGCTCTGGTCAGTTTATCATATTTCCCCATATGCACCACACCATATATAGGTTATCCTTTCTAATGTGAAAATCCCCTTCCCCCTCCCTCCCTTCATTGCAAACATCCTTCTTCCCCGCATTCCATTCTCCTTTACACCCGCCCTGCGGCGCAGCCTCCTTCACCGAGCTGCCATGGCACTGTGTGCCTCCGCTCCGGCACCCAGCCCTTGTAAGCCCCTAGCCCGCTCAAAATTGAAGGATTGCCACGGCGCTGCTTTTCTCTTTGTTTTAACTATTTGACTGACACACTAAAGCTGATCAGAAATATTTTTATTAAACGTGTTTTTCCTGAAAATTGCTGCTGTGTCAATAGAAAATGATTCTGTTACAACCATTTTTTCGATCGGGAAGGTTTTTCCAATTCAGAATGGAATTTTTATTTTTCTTAAGGTAGAAGAAAACACTGGACTTGATAATAAACCTACCAAAGTTTCGGGTGCTTACCTGAAAGAGTAGACCAAGACTCTTGTCTCCCTGCTTAACTACTGGTCTATTTTAATCTGACCTTCTTGAATGTTTTATGATTGTATGTATATTTTATTTCTGTGTACTGTTAGAAGAATTTTTTGTGTGGTTTATATGACTGATGATTACTATTTTTACGTTGTTGAGATACTTAAGGCATTTTCCAGTATTGCTCTTACTGATGTTATCAACAGTGGACAGTAATAGTGCTTTGCAGATGATTTTACTAGTCAAGTGACCCTTTTACATCAACAGTTTAGATAGGAAAATATGCTAAGCCAAAGGTTTTTCATCATTGGAGCAGCTGTTGGAGTGGTTTGGTGTTGGAGAACATCTGTTTAAGTCTGATTTTTCACAGATTTGTCTAGTGCTTGGTGACCTTAGACTCGACCTTACTCCAAGTGACATGAGCAGCACTGATGCAGCCCTCTCTGTACAGTCAAATGCTACATTTCCATTTGTTTCCATCCATATACTGTGATGCTCTGTTCATTTTTCCACATAATTTTTTTTTGCACTGAATTGTTTCTTCTGCCTTTCCATTTCCCTGTACAGAAGCATTTTAAAACATCGTATTTTGCTGTCTGTCCAGCACTACTGCTCTTGGCCTAAACGTCTTTGTAACACAGAAACAGATGTATAGACTCAAAGCTGCACCCATAAAAACTTTCAGGGGCTTGAAGGAACACAGCAAACCTGCTATTTACACTGGATAGAGTCTTTACAAAATTTGATATTTTATACAGATACTGAGAAGCATATTTGGCATAATCACTCAAGAACTGCAGGTTGTGATCAGATGCCTGGTAAGGTATCCGTGTCCTTACCTGTGTATCTTTTATTGGGTTGGTTGTTTTGGTACATCATCCTTCACGGTGGTATCATCATATCAAAATTACCTCTTTTAAACCTTTTTTTTTTTTTTTTTTTTAACTGTTGCTGGGCCTTCAAAACTTTTCAGGTTTTGAAGGGGGG